TTGCCTAAGGTCCTGCAGTAAGAACGAGACAGAAATAATCCATTGTTCAGTGAGAGTGCTCAGGGAAGGATGACAGTGTAAGGTGTCAAACTGGCCTAGGTTCTCGCCCCAGTTCTGCCGCTCGCTGCCACTGAACTTCAGGTAAACAGGATTCTTTCTCACCTCACAGGGTTGCTGAAGGGAGTAAATGAATAAACATCGCACCAGGCTTATAAGAAATAAACCAGTGACACTAGTTTAAAGGGCTTCTCGATCAATCCTATCTCACAGGGGGAAGGGCGTGTAACAGGCCCTGAGACAGGAAGTGATCAGCCCAAGGTCTGGTATCCAGCTGTGTTACAGCCCAGTTCTCTTTCCTTTTGGTGGAAAGCTCCTCCCATTCCCCAGGTTCGGTGACCCCCTACACGCTTATCTAATGGTAATTGTAGTAACAGCTTCTATGCACTGAAAGTTTACTCTGTGCCAGGAGCAGACATTTTAGCTACTCCTTACAATAACCCACAAGTTAGGTTAGTATTATACTCCTGATTTAAAGATGAGAAAATTACAATGCTAATTATATGTGTAATATAAAAGAAAGAACTTATTTACAAAATAGAAATAGACTCATGGACACTGAAAACAAACTTAGGTTACCAAAGGGGAAAGCAGGAGAGAGATAAATTAGGAGTTTGGGGTTAGCAGATACACACTGCGTGCTGAATTGCTTCAGTTATGTCTGATTCTTTGAGACCCCCATGGACTATAGCCTGCCAGGCTCCTCTGTCCATGGGATTTTCCAGGCAAGGATACTGGAGTGGGTTGCTGTACCCTCCTCCAGGGGATCTTCCCAACCCAGGGATCCGACCTGCGTTTCTTACGTCTCCTGCATTGGCAGGTGTATTCTTTACCACTAGTGCCACCTGGGAAGCCCAACAGGTACACGCTGCCGTATATAAAATAGATAAACAACAAGGACCTGCTAAACTATATTCAAGATCTTGTAATAACCTATAATGGAAAGAATCTGAAAAAGGATGTGTGTGTGTGTGTGTGTGTGTGCATGTTTGTACTTACATAACTGAAGCACTTTGCCGTATATCTGAAACTAACACGACATTCAATTTAAAAATAAACAAATACGGTGATGGGGAAAAAAAGAAATATGAGGCTCGGAGAAGTTAAGTGATCTGCCCAACTCACACAGCCAGGAAGGGTGGAAATAGAAGTTGAGTCCAAATGTCAGACTCTGAGGTCTGGACTGTCTGAGGTGCGCCTTGTTCTCTGTCCTCATGACCCTCACAGTGGGCGGCTCCATCCCTCAGCCTGCTTTCTCCCAAGCAGAGAGGGCGCCAAGTGATTTGAAGGCCAGCTTGGCACTTGCTTGGGCAGGCCCAGTCTCAAACCAAAACCTTGCCCTCTTCCTGCCTTCTCCTTCATCTAGCAGCAGATCCTGAAATTGTCTAGCTGTGCCTTCCCTCTTCCGAAGCCTTCCCCCAGCTCCGACATTATGCGTGAAGACATTAGGGCCACAGACATATGTGGCCAGGCGGACCTCTGGCCCCTCACACTCCCAATGTCCAAGCTGCCTGAGCCCACTGTTTCGGGTCCCTTCAAAGGCAACAGGACATCTGCTTATTATCTTGGAGCTTCACGTGGTGAACCTCAGGTAGCTGTGGGTCCAAATTTGTCCGCTACCACTCACTAGCTATGCAACTTTGAACAGTAACTTGGCCTTTCTAAGCCCACTTACAGAGGTATGTTTGTAAGCTTAAAATTCCACTGGGAGGGGAACCCTCACAGCCAATGGCCTACAGTCCCAGAGTCAGACCCAGGAATTTCAGAACCAACAGTTCCAGAAACCCTTTCTTATTCTTTTTCAGAGAACAAATTTGGGACAGCAGGCAGCAGTTGCCAGGAGTTCCCAGACCCCTGGGGTTGGACTGAGTGGGGAGATGGCTAGTTCAAGACACAAGAAGTCATGACCTGTCCTGGAGTTCATAGAGCAGGCCAATAACTGGCCTGAAATTCACACCGCAAGTAGATAACAGACAAAAACCTCTGGATTCAGAACAGATCCACAAGGACTTGGGCCTAGAAAAGATGTGGTTTGTAAACTCAGAGGGCTCCTCCTTCACCGTCATTCTGACTGCAATCATCTCCCTGGGGCAGACTCAGCCTGGTACTCTGAGCCCTCACACAGCATCCCAGGCTCCATCAGAAGCGAGCAGCAGTATCCCCACGGTATTTATTTCCTGTGGCTGTTGTAACAAATTACCACCAGTTCATGGTTTAAGACAATACCAGGTCTTCCCTGGAGATCTAGTGGTTGCAATTCCACGCTTCCACTGCACGGGGTGTGGGTTTGATCAGTGAAATGAGATCCTGCATGCAATGCAGCTTGGCCAAAAAAATAAAATAAAAAGCTAAAACGACACTAACTTGTTCTTCCAAAGAGAGGTCATAAGTCCAAAATCAGTCTCACCTTACTAAAGTCAGGGTGTCGGCAGGGCAGGTTTCTTCGGCAGGCTCTCAGGGAGAATCCATTTATTTGCCTTTCTTCAGTTTCTAAACGGCCACCTGTGTTCCTGGGCTCATGGTCCCTTCCTCCATCTTCGAACTTCATCACTGCAACCTCTGCTTCCATCATCACAACACCTTTCCTGTCCTATGTCAAATCTTCCTCTGCCTCCCTCTTACGAGGACCCTTCTGATTACATGGGGCCCACCCAGACGATCGAGGATAACCTCTCTGCTTAAATGCCCTAAATAAGCACATCTCTCTTTGTCACAGAAAGTAACGTTCACACATAACAGGAATCTCTGGGAGCCGTTACTCAGCCTACCACACCCATTTTCTAGACTAGGAACTCGGGTTCAGAAAGGTGAAATCACCTGCCCGTGACCACACAGGATGTGGAATTTGATGCCAGCAGATCTGGGGCCTGACAAAGCCCTTCTTGCAAGGGTACCAGAACTGGAGAGGAGCATACAGAGTCCCATGGGAAGCGCTGGGGTCTGGGGGGATACTGGCGGCTTCAGAGGTCAAGTGGAAGCCAGGGCTCTGGCCTCAGGTGATCTCCTTAAGCTGGGGAGGGGACACGAGCAGCTAAGAGCAAGATCTGATAAAAGTCTGGGGAATCGACCACCCCCAACCCATTTCTGGCAGATCCCTGGACACGGTTGGACAAAGCAGGACTTTTCAAACTCTTCTTTCTGCAGAGAAAGCCTGGGGTTGGAGGAAGTGGGCACCGGGGCTGGTAGTACGGCCCCTCCCCTCTGCCCCCTTCACATGTTTTTGCTTCTAATACCCACTGCCTTTGGCTCCTGCACCAGCTTCGTGCGCACAGGTAGGAAGCGACTGGGAAGTCACCGCCTCTTCCCTGTTCCCAGACCTTGTCTAAAGACTGACAACTTGAAGGCCCTGTCCCCTTGCCCTGAGCGGAGACAACTCTGAGTGGGACTTACACTCCAGTGTCCCCCGTGGGATCAGGCTGCAGCTGTCCTCCCAGGACTCCGCCTGAAATCACATCCTGCTTGCATTCCTCACCTTCGCTCCTGATTCACCCGCTGCTTTACCAGCCTCCCTGCACACTGCTTCGGTAAATCACCTGCACACACATCCTCGTCTCAGAGCCAGTTTCTGGGATCCGTCCTAAGATAGGCTACCTCTGTGTGTGTGCGCGTGTTTACGATTTTATTTAGTTATTTTTGGTCGCACTGGGTCTTCACTGCCGCGCAGGCTTTTCTGTAGTTTCGGCCAGCAGTGGCTGCTCTTCGTGGCGGTCTCTCTTATTGTGGAGCGTGGGCTTTAGGCTGCAAGGGCTCAGTGGTTGCGGGTCCTGGGCTCTAGAGCTCAGGCTCAATAGTTGTGGCTCACACGCTTAGTTGCTCTGAGGCATGTGGCAACTTCCTGGACCAGGGATTGAACCCTTAGTCTCCTGCATTGGCGGGCAGATTCTTTACCACTGAGCCACCAGCGAAGCCCCTTTCTGTGTTTTAAAACATTCATGCCCATTGTGCATTCTGTCTCATAACATACCTGTGTATTTTAAATACTCTAATATAAGTTTCAGGGGTACAGCATTATTAAACCTATATATACCTGTGCATTTTGATCTACAGATGTTATCTATAACCTTCAGGGAAGGTGTTCCAAGACGTGGGTGTCACTCCAGTGCCCCTGCAACACCCTTTGTGTGACCCAAGTGGAGCCATGGGAGGCCAGGGAAGATGTGATGTCCTGGGTGCCTCCATCTGTCCTACCCACCCCTCTCTCCACATCAAGCCCAGCCATACAGACAGGCCACATAGCACGCTGGATCCTAATCTTGTTCAGATCTCTTTATTGAAAAATTAAAGTCATAAGCTCTGTATATAAATACATTGACATCGCTGGTCACCTGCAAGGCCTCTGGGATAGGCTGGGGGGTGCAGTGGGAAGCTGGGGTCTTGCAATCCCCAGGGGTGTGGGATGGAAATAAATAATAAATATCATGGGGGATGAGGAGCTAGGAGGAACGGGGGTGTGAATGGGGGTGCTCGATGCTTATTTGTGGCACTGAAGGTCCCGCAAGATGCCCCCCGGGTTGGGGGCCGTGTCCACGAATTCTTCTGTGACTTCATTCCAGACAAAGACGCCGGCATCTGAGGATAGGCCAAGTCCTAGCTGGCCAGGGAGCACTCAACTCAAGAGTTACAGGCCCTGGGAGGCTTCAGGTGAAGACACAGGTGCTCCGCCCTTCCCCTTTCGTTCTCCTCTTCCTGAGGTTTCACGCTTGTATTGAGCGCCTACTTTATACCACGATTGCATCAGACCCTGACCTGACCTTCTGTTTGCCTCGCCCAGCTCTCTTCTCCCGGTTCTGGTCCAATGGGCCAGTGCGGAGTGGAGGGGGGGATGTCTTCCTGTTTCCCTGGCCATGCAGCTCCAGCCCCCGAAGGAGCTCAGTAGTGCCAGGAGGGAGGAGGGACCAGGGCTGGGGGCTGGGCAGCGGTGGGAGGCCCTCGGGCCTTGGCCCCTAGAGCAGCACGTTGAACTCGGTGACCAGAAAGTCGATGTAGTCTCGCTCCTTGGTCTTGAAGGCCTCCGCGATGATGCGCGCGGCCTCCCGGTGCTCCTTGCCCCGAAGTGTCAGCCCATTCACTTCCAGGATCACGTGCCCCACCTTGAGCTGCCCGCAGTTGTGGGCTGAGCCGCCTCGCTGCAGGAGTTAGATGCAGGGCATGGGCACCGGGGACACCCCAGGGCCGGCCTTCACTGCCCACCACTGCCACCCGGGGAGCCACGATCTGTGTGTCCACGGCCCGGATGAGGAAAACCGAGGCTCGGGGAAAGCCAAGGTGCTATGAGCCTGGGGCTGCCTGTGGGCATGGCAAACCCCTGGGGATGCTGAGAGAGGGACCCTCATGGGTAGGGAGCGATGGGGGGACGTACCTGAATTGTGACGATCCTAGGCAGGGGCTGGCGGGTGTTGGCACCACCCTCGATGGCGATGCCCAGGGTGGCCGCACTTTTCTTCACGCGGATGAGGGTGGACGTGGGCTCCAAGAGCCCGGGCTGCAGGTATGAGGAAGGAAATTAGTGGCAGGCCTTCTTGGTGGGTGGGCCTGGCCCGGGGCTGGCCTGGCCACGACAGGCCCTTGGGTCAGCAGGGTGCAGACTCCAGCCCTTTGCTGGGAGCCTGCTGTGTGTTAGCACTGAGCACCTGGTGCTCCCAGCTTGTCTAATTCTGAGGCTCGGGAGGTTAAGCAGCTGTCCCAAGGCTGCTGGAGGTAGCATCAGGCCTTGAATCTGGCCTGAATGCCTTACCACCACCCTACACTGGAAGGGAGCTTAACGATCCATGAGAACAACCTCCAGCAGCTGGCATGTCTGCATCAGTGGCAAAGGGGCGGCCTTCAGACTCTGAACACGGAGGTCTCTCCGGACACCCGCATCCACCCAGTGACGGCGGAGCTCAGTACTTCCCTGTGGTCACTTGTCAAGCTGAACCCTGGTCAGGACTTCCTGTTGTTCACCCTGAAGTTAGCCAGACTTCCCCCCATCTGCCTTCTGCACACTCCCCGTCTCACTTACGGGTTTGGTGGCCCCCTCGGGGGTCCTCTCGTTCCGAGGCGTCTCCTTGCTACTCCTGCTCTTGGTGGACACGGTCTGTCTGCCTCGGCCCGGAGCGCTGGCCTCCGCCTCGCCGGCGTCCACGCCGCTGTCCTCGCTCAGCGTCTGCCCGCTATCTGAGAGCTGGGAGAGCGTGGAGGCGGCTGGGGGTGGGAACAGGAGGAGGGGGGTGTGTAGAGCTGGGGTCAGTAAGGGCTTCCTGCAGGAGCTGAGGGGCAGGCTAGAAGGCTGGGTGGGGAAGTCCCCGGGCAGACTCCCTGCCACCCGCCACCTGCTTAGACCTGCCCTTCCAACTGGGTCTGGCCCTAAGGCTGCCATTTCCAGGATGTCTGCCTTGACAGCCTCTGGCAAGATGGTTTTTTTTAAAAAAAAGGTCAAGAGGCAAATCCAGCCCACATATATGGGTTTGTTTGTTGGTTTTAACTCTTAGTGTTCTCAATATTTAATGATGGACCAACACTTTAAATTAGATTTCACATAAAAATGGAATTCTAAGCTTCTTGGGAAAAGAAAGGAAGGTCTGAAGAAAAAAAAAAAGGAAGGTCTGCCATGCCTGGTCTGTGCCCTTGCTGACTCCACCTGGCCTGAACTAAGAGGTGAGCACACGCCCTCTGGTGCAATAGTCAAACCCAAGCCACTCCACTAGGTATGTAACGGCTTGGCCCCTGAGTTTGAGACACTCTGGAGTCTGGCAGGTGGGGTCTGAATCCCCTCTGACCAGCTGTGCAATCCGGGGTGAGCTACACAGCCTCTCTGAACCCCCATGTTCTGGTTCCAACCCAGGGGCAACGATGCCTATCCCGTGGACTATCATAAGCCCTAACAAACACGACGTATGGGGCGAACAGGCTTATGCTAGCCTGCCTGGCTCCACAAGTACTGTGTCTCAGCCTCTTTCGTCTGTAAATTGGGGGTAATAACAGTGCCAGCATCACAGAGCTGTTGAGAGAACTGGGTGAGTTACTGACACACGGAAGTTCCCAAGAACAGTGTTCTTGGCTCACGGAGAGTGCTATACACCTGTCAGCTTTATTATCATGTGTGTCCGGCTCAGAGCCAGGTCCAGAGCCGTCTCTCTGACAGCTCGGGTTTCCCTCACCACATCCTGCCTTAGCAGCCTTTCCTCAGGGAGCTACTGAATGCGGGGACCCCGCCTTCTGCATCCCAGCCCGTCCCCTACTTGCATACCGCAGGCGCCAGTAAACTTCCCTGACCTGGTTGGCCACCCACCCTCCTTGGCCACGGCGGTCCGACGTGTCACCTTAGCCACGAGATGGCAGCAGAATCCAACAAAATGGACCCAACTCACGACCAGGAGGGAGGGGACGCAGGCCTCGCTGTGGACTCAGCTTACATGGTGGAAACCAGCTCTCCCTTCCCGCCACCTCCCCAGTTGGACAGCCGCTGAAAACCTCAGGGCTACAGCCCCAGGCTGGCCTCCCAGGTGTCTGGAAGGTGGACCCTGTGCTCTGACCCTGCAGCCCCAAGTCAGGAGACTTCCAGGGGTCCAGAGGTGACAATTTCAATGTCCACTTGTCCCTCGGCATCAGCTCTGGGGGACAGAGATCACAAAAGTCACCCCTGCCCTGAATAGGCTCAGTCTTCTTGGGGGGACTGGTAGGTGGGTGCAGGGTGACCAGCTCTGGGGATCCTAGAGCAGAAATCCCACCCTCACAGCCAGCTGGCAGAACTGCTACTGTTACCTCCAGCGCCCATGGGACGGCCCAGCAGTCCGTCCACAGTCAGACAGCCAGTGACAGCTGGGACTCACATTCTAGCCTCTGCCTCCAAAGTCCCTCGGGGTGGGCTCGGGACCCTGTTCACCAGCTCCCCTGACCCTTAATGGGGGAGGACTGGGTTCAGAGGCCTCCCACTGGGTGAGTACCTGGTCCCACCTGAGCTGTGTCAATGTGCTGTGTCAATGGGCAGATCAATCCCCCAGTGGGGCACCCCTAAGGGGATGCAGCAGCCCCCCCGAGCCCAGCCCAGTGGGGCCTGCGGTACTCACTGCGTGTCTGGGGCAGCGCCCTCACTTCATTCACATCTGGCTCGCTGTCCGGGCGGTGCACCTCCACCAGGACAAAATGCTGGTTCGTGCCCGCCTGGTCCGGGCGGCCAGAGGGGGAGGATGGGGGAAGGCCACCACCGGCCAGCGTGGCCTCTGCAGGGGGGCTTTTCAGGTGCGGGGGTGACTGGACCCGCGGGAAGGGGCCGATGGGGTGCTGGTTGACCAGGGCCAGGTGGGTGTCCAGCGGCCTCTTGCAGCCCAGGTTGGCTGGGGAGATGGAGGCATAGAGGGGGGAGGAGGGTGAGTCCTGTGCTGTGGGGGCCTCCGGCACAGGAGCGGTGCCCGCTGGCGGGCTGCAGTTCCGCGGAGCTGAGAAGACAATGCCCGAGTGGGAAGATGCGGAGGAAGGCGGCTGGAGGTCCTCTCTGCCCGGCTTCCTCGGCTGGATGAGGAGGTGGTCGTGGCCTTGGGTCAGAGGGGGTGGGGGAGGCGGTGGCTTGTAGCTAGGCAGCCCCTTGGAGGTGAACTTGACATCATCCTGCCAAAAGACCCAACAGGAATAGAAGGAGTCAGAGCCCATTGCGGCCGTTAGAGGGGAGAGCTGTGAGCCCTGGTGCACCGGACCCTGGCTGGAATTCCGTCCTTGCTCTATCAGCTCCTGGCCACGCTGCTCTGAATAATGCAACACCTGAGTGGAAAACTTCTCCTAGCATCTGAGCAGCTGATAAGCATCAGGATCCTGGCGGGTGTCTCTGGGGATGGCATCGTTACCTTCGGGAACTGAACTTCTTGGCATCGGCCAGGGCTTGTCACAGGGAACGGGACTTAATTAGAGGTGGGATGCAGAGATGAAAACTTTGGCTTTTCTCTTTAGGGGATTATCATGGCTCCTGGAGCCTGGAGGTGTGACAGGCTCCTGGAGCCTGGAGGTGTGACAGGACTGGGTGCTGTTGGTCCTGGGTAGGGCACAGCACTTCTCTGAGTGCACCTCGGGGCCATGGAGGAAACGACCTACTCAGCAGAACCGTGGGGAGGTGAGGAGTAGCACGTGTGTTGCACTAGCAAGGGGCCTGAGATCCAGCAGGTGCTTGGTGAGTGGCAGATTCTGTCGTCACTATGCCCCCTCCCTATGTCAGCATCCAACACTGGCATGGCTCTGATGGCCAGGCAGGCACTGTCCCCAACGCTTTACTTAGATTAACCTTGTCATAGGCTTATGGGGTGGTACACTATTATTACACCCCATTTTACAGATGGGAAAACCGAGGCACAGAGAAGTTGAGAAACTTGCCCAAAGTCACACAGTCAGCAGCACAGGGTGGGATTTGGACCCGGGCTGTCTGGCTTCAGAGCCCAGGCCATCCGAAAGCCACGTGGGTCGGATCACAAAGCGAGACTGCCCGGACTGCTGCTGAGTGCGCACGGGCGTGAGGCCACGTTTCTCCCCGTCTCCCGGCGCAGTCATTGGGCCTCCTGGAGGAGCTGTCGTCACACACGTCATGCTTCAGTCCTTGCTATGATAGCGTTCAGATAGCGTATCACAAGGGGCAGCAACTCAGCAGTCAAACAGCCTGACCGCCCTGCCTCAAAGCCCTGCAACTGGCTGAGAGCCTCAGTCCCCTCCCGGTGGTCTCACCAGGGAGCCAGCCCCCGGGGGCCTCAGGCAGACCCAGGAGGGGCAAAACTCAATGAAAGGGTCTTTCCAGAGAGGGGTCTCACCAGAGAAACGTCAGAGAGGGTGTTCACATTGCCCTGGACGGCCTCCCCGGTCTCCTCCAGGTCCAGAGTGTTCTAGAGCAGAGAAGGAAGCCCCGTGAGCAAACACACATTGAGAGGGGGAACCACTTTGCTCTCTAGGACACAGAACTCTGCGGGCCCTAAGACACCTTCACGGGGCTTCCGTGTTTCCTGACGTGCCCCACTCCGTGGGAACTTACATGGTAAAACGAATGTTGATTTTCCTGCCATTTATCTTGAAATCAATTTCAAGGAGTTCAATTTCTTGGAGACTTTCCAGGCCTCCCCGGAACTATGTGGCAATGTTGCGGGGTGGGCTCTGGCCTTGACTGGCAATCCCTGAAGCTCGGCCCATGCTCAACAGGCTCGGCTCCTCAACCCGAGGGCTCTGTCTCCATGATTCCTGACAGAACCCCCATGGAGGTGTGAAAATGGCAAATGAGGGGCGGATGGGGAAGGTCTCTAGCTCTCTTTTTTTAATTAATTGGTTACCCGTTTATTCTGGCTGTACTGGGTCTTAGCTGTCGCCTGTGGGATCTTTCATTGTTGTGCCCAGACTTCTTTCTAGTTGCTCCCTGGCAGGCATGTGACATTTTAGTTTCCTGAACAGGGATTGAACCCGCGTCCCCTACACCAGAAGGCGGATTCTTAACCACTGGACCACCAGGGAAGTCCCTCTCTCTCTTTTTCAATTTTATGAGTTTTAATGATATATCCTGGAGGAGGGGGAAAGGGTTAAGGTTTCAGTGGCGCTTATTTTGCAAAGATGCTCATTTGTTCCTTCTCCTCCTAACTTACCAGACGCCTAATGCTTCCTCAAGTGACACTGAGCTGCCGTGAGGCCATGGCTAGACACCCCACACCAGGAGGTTGAGCAGAGCTCTTCTTTAAACTCCTGAGGGGGCTCCTGAGGGCTCCGCAGTCACTTCTATCCACCCCGCAGGGCCCAGGATGGCAACAGGCTTCCCTGACCACCACCCAGCTCAAGTCTCAAGTTCAGGGATGAATACTGAGCAGTCTCAGCGCTCCTGACTGAGGGCCGGGGGACTCAGAGGAGGTCACACACCTCCCCTGCCTTCAGTAGCTCAGAGACGGTGTGCGCGCTGAGCGGCTCAGCCGCGTACGACTCTTCGTGACCCCCGGGACGGTAACTCGCCAGGCTCCTCTGCCCATGGAATTTTCAAGGCAAGAAGACTGGAGTGGGTTGCTGTGTCCTACTCCAGGGGATCTTCCCAATTCAGGGATCAAACTTGAGTCTTTTGTATCTCCTGCATTGGCAGGCAGATTCTTTACCGTTGCCCCACCTGGGAAGCCCTAGAGACAGTGGGGTCGACACAAATAAGCCAGGAGGAGGCTGCACAGGGTGAGGAAACACAGTTATATAATGCAGCTAAGGAAGCGTCATCTAGGAAGTCTTCCTGGAGGAGGGAGCACGGGTTAAAGCTGGGCGAAGGAAAGAATGGTGGGTGTTTCAGAGGGAGGGGTGTGCATAAAGCTGGGAGGATAGAGGATGCTTGAGAATCTTCAGCAGTTCTACAGCAGTCAAGAGCTGCTTAGACCTAAGCCAGGGGACAGTGGGTTGCCATGGAGATGTAGTGAGGTCTGCCTTCTAAGAAGATCCCCTCTGCTCAGTTCCCTTCGAGTCACACTAGAGCTGTGCCGGCATGTCGGGGCTTTTATACTGGCACTTCCTTCTGTCTGGAACATTCTTCCCCAGAACTATCCACAAAGTGAGCCCTGTTTGTTCACCTCCTTCAAGGCCTTACTCAAATATTACTCAAATATCACCTCCTCAAAAAGATCTACTCTGACAAACCCACCTAAACTCACAGCCTTCACCCCTGCCCTGCTTTATTTTTCTCCTTTGCACAGATCACTGTTCCTTACCGAGCAGCCAGGATGTAATCTTGAAGTCAGATGATGTCTCACGCCAGCTCATAACCCTCGAGGCTCTTTCCACCTTAAGTGGAGGAAATTCCAAACTCTGCATTCACTGGGCACAAGGAATTCTGGGCCCTTTCCTGCTGCTCTTGCAGCAGGACGGGATGGTTCCTGCCTCAGGGCCTTTGCACTCACTGCTCTGCCTGCATATAGCACTCCTGGCTCATTCCCTCATTTTAGACTCTGGTGAGGCTCTCTTTGACCAGACCTGTTACAAACAGCACCCCCTCCACCCCCGACACCTCTGTGTAACCCCTGACCCTGCCCCATTTTTCTGTGTAAGATTTATCACCGCCTGGTGGGGTACTCTATATTTGCTCACTGTGACTCTTCCTACTAGGATAACTCCTCAAAGGCAGGACTTGTGACCACCTGGGCCCTACTGGATCTGCAGTATTCAGGACAGTGACTGCTTGGTAAATATTTACTGAGCAAATTAATTAATTCATGAATGAATCGATGGGTGAATGAATCAATCAATAACTCTGGCTGTCATGGGGAGGAGGCCCGAGTAGACAGAGAATTGAGCCAGGCTGCTACAGTAGGTCGCGGAGAGCAGTGATGATGGCTTGAATGAAGGTGAAGGCAGGACGAGAGTGAAGGTGTGGGGGGGTGGGAGGAGCCCCCTGACTCCACACCCCCAGAACAGAGGCTGCCAGGTCACTCCGTACCAATCCCCGTCTCCAATAAGCCTCCTGAAGCCTTGAGTATTCTGGGCAGGCACCATGGGAACCCACCAGCCCACAAGATGCTCTGTCCTCCCAGCCATGAGCCTTTCTCACCAGGGCGCCTCATCTGGTCTGTGACGCCTCTGGGGCAGTGTCAGGCCAGGTCAACTGCCTTTTACCAGCAAAGCTGAGACTTGTGCAAACATCCTGACATCGCCTGCGCTCCCCACCCTCATCTCTCACACACCGCTCCACAGGAAGGTGTTCCTGACGGCCTCAGTGATACGAGGACAGGGAGGACCCTTGGGGAGGGGAGGGCTGCTCCTTCCCACCTTGATCAGAGGCACCAGTTCTGGCTTCTCTGAGATCACTCCCAGCTCTGCCACTCAACCCACTGGACTGCTCTGTGCCTCAGTTTCCTCATCTGTAAAATGGGGAAACAGCAGTCCCTCCCTCATGGAGTTGATGCATTAACACCCGAAAAATACTCAAACAGAGCCCGGCACAGTATCTGAAGGGAGGCGACTGTCACACTAGAAACCTGGGATCTTATAAACCTGCCCCGGGACCTGAATGGCTGTCCAACGTGCCCTGGCCTAGGTGAACAAGTCGATGGAAAGAAACAGTGGTCCTCCGATACACCCCCTCCCCCCAAACCACCGTGTGTCCAGTGCTCCCAGGAGTCAATCCGCCTGGGCAACACAAGCCATCTAGGGTGAAGGTGAATGGCAAAGCAGGTTACACGTAATGACTTCCCAAGACTGGGCAGTCACTGCCCTGGCCTCAGCAGGAGGCCCCAAGAGGTCAGAGACCTGGGCAGTGTCTATAGCAAGGACGAGAGGGGCCTCCATCACCTGAAATGTAGCTAGCTACTGCCACCTGCCCCCAAAACTCAGCCTGCAGACACCCTGGGGGCTTAGATGACAGTCCACGGTTGGACCAAAGATATGGGATTCTGTCCTGTTCTGGTATCAGGAGCTTTGAACACGCATTTAGTGGATCAACCAAGCATTTAACAGGCAGCCTTGACTTATGAGGAAAGTTCATGGGGATAAAAGATGAGCAGGCCACCGTGTTCCCAACACCCACCAGAGGGCCATGCACACAGGAGCTGCCCACAAACTCTTGTCTGGAGTCACTGATGGAAGCTGGCGTTGTGATAGGGCCAAAGGGAAGGGGCAAGGAAGGACCCAGTCTGATAACACAAGCACGTCTTTGCCCAGCTCCACAGGGGGCTGCGCCTCCTCTTACAAAGGGCATGGGAGGACTCCAAACTGTGGACGGCCTTTCTGCATGCTAGACCCCTGCTGGGCATTTTATTTACGTGGTCTCACTGATTATCCTTATGATCCTTTAAGGCAGGCACTCTGATTGTCCTGGCTCACAACTTTTACACTTAAGCTCAGAGAGAGCAGTGACCAAGGCGACAGACCTATTCTACAGCAGATTAGGTTTCTAACCCACATCGGGGTGACCCTAAAGCCCATGCAACCTTACCGGGACCCCAGAATTGGATGCTGTAGGAACCAAGGGCCTCCATGAGGAGGACCCTCCCTGAAACAAGAGAGAACACAGCCATGGCTGGCCACTGACCTCAGTCACTCCCTGCTATTAACGGCATCCTGGAGCCAAACGGAAGGCAGGGATGGACGGGTGGGAGGGAGGATGTGGAGCGGGGACAGACGTCCAGCCCTGGGAGAAAGGCCTGAAGTGGAGCAAACGGCAGACGGCTTGGAGCCCAGCCCTGCCAGACTCCATCTGCCGGATCCAGACGCTCAGGAGCCCCGAGTCCCCGAGCCGTGTTCCCTGCGCGTCTGAAATAGCTGAAGACGGCAGGCTAAGAACTCGGGGGATGCGTCAGCAGAATCGCGTCCAGGACAGGCTTCGAGAAGAGGGTCAAGGTCAGCGCTCACGCAGGGGCCGGAGCGTCTTGGCCTCCTTCCCATCCCCCCCTCGGCCCCAGCTGCTGGGGTGGGGGTGCCTCCTCCTGCACCCACAGGGGCCAGAGACCAGCTGAGGGTTTAGATCTGGCAGCTCAATTAATCCTGGCAGGTGGGACCGTTTTTCATCAGTTCTACAGCTGAGGTGACTGAGGCTCAGAGATGGAAGGCCACTTGCCCAAGGTCACACAGCAAGGACAGAGCAGAAAGCTGAACCCTATTCAAGGTCTGAGTCTGTCATCCAGATGACTTCCCACAAGAGCCAGGATGCCCTCAGGTCCTGCGGCGGTGGCTCCCTCATCCCCTTACTCCTCAAATTTGTGGTGGTTCAGGAAATCCTGTCCCTTTCAGAGAGAACTCTTTTATTTTTCTTTTTTGGTCTGAGTTAGCCCAATCAGGGTTCTAGATATCCCAGGGTCTGGTTTTGGGGTACTGTGGGGCGAAAATGGAATGAAATCATAAGGGGCCATCACCCGAGCTGGCCTCTGCCAGATGGACTCATGGT